TGGCCTGGGGCACCTTTCAGTGTCCTCTCGAAGGAGAATGCACCTGGGGTGGTCAGGACACGATGTCGCACTACTGGGGTACACTCTGGGATGTAGTAGGACTTGTTTCCGGGATGGAATTCATACCAGCTGGTGCAGGGTAGGGTGAACAGTGTGTTTCTGAGGTAGAGTAATACAATTTGAGGAAATAATGGGCTGTGTGGCCTGGAATGTGGTCCAGATGATGTGGCATGATTATTTAGTCTAGGGAGAGCTATTCACAACCACTTGAACCACTTTCCACTCCCCTGGGGGATCCACAGGAGGGTACCACCCAAAAGCGGTATCTAATGATGCACTGCTTGGAATCTCTTGGTGTCTTATGTAGACCTGTAGATATATATGGGGTGAGTATGATACCATAAAATCAGGATGTAGCATATAGTATACACATGGGAAAACCCGAAATATTGTTTTGGAGCTGCCGGGAACAGACAGTCCACAGACAGTTGGTCACTTATTTGCTTAGGTGTTTGTGGACAGTCTGGCCTCCAGCTGCTTGTACCTTCATCATGCCCAACAGTTGCTTGATTAGGCAGTCCCATCTCTAGTGCTGTATCCACCCAATGTGTGCCTTGACGAGCGGCTATCCTGTACTTTGGCCTTTGATTTACTTGTGGTATTTATTATGATAGAATTTGTTAGCAGCAGGCAGAACAGGGAACCATAAGATGGGTGGCCATAAGCACACCAGGCCCAGACACATGCACAAACCGAAGGCAAGGTCAATTGCACGGACTAAGGAACAAAGGAAATACAGTGGCTCAGTACATAGTCAAGCTGTTTGTACCTATTTGTCCCAGTGGCTCTGCATCCAATACACCCAAAACCTAACAGAATTGACACTTAAAATTTCCACTCACTCGTTCTCAAGTCCACTGCCCATATGCTTTCATACACTTTGTCCCAGGCATCCCACTTGCTTGCCAGTATCATGCTGCACTGGGTGTAGGTTGGGTGCAGCAACGGAGGTCCATCTGTTACATTGGTCACATGAATACAGAGAATTGTTCCAATTCTTCAATGTTGAAGGAGTTTCCAAATAAAACAATCCTTGCCACAGAAGCCTATAAAAGCAGGCCAGAGTCTTGGTGGGGACCTCAGCTTTCCATCCACATTCAATATCTTTTCCACTGACAATTCCTTTGCTGGTGAATTACCATTGTTTCCCCTCCTTGTTGCCTTTCTCTTTGACCCGTGCATGCCTTTGTTGGTCATTTTGATATAAATCTAATGTCAGATGATAGCCTCGTGGAGTGGGTCTCACCCAGGATTGACCTACTATACAGTGATGGTGTATCTATCCACAAGGGATTGGCACTCTCAATGACTGTTATCTTCCATAAAGTCAACGAGTCAAAGTCATTGGTATTCATGTCAGTATACCAACTTAGTTTTTATATTCCTGGCAATGACCACTGCACATAACCAGAAAAAACTGTGCAGCAGAAGGCCAGGTCCCTATGGACCTCAATACAGAGACCTCCATGAGGGCTCTACTTCAGGCCACACCTGACTGTGCCATGACTGCAGGGCACCCATGCTCTCTTTCAATTGAAGATCACAATGATCTTGAATACCAGGAGGACCTTGCAATGGAAGCTGAGAAAGTGGCAGAACTCAAGGCCCAAATTAAAGAACAGTTGGACAGCCTTTCTGATGATGAAGACCAGTGAGTCATCATAGACATTCATCCACAGTGCTCTCAGACTTATCCAGGCATATAGACCCCCAACCAGCTCAGAACCTGGCAATGCCTCAGAAGTGGTAGAGCATATGAAAGGCTTAACTATCACATAAACCTTGGAGCAGGAGCCAGCTGGTGCATTCGAGATCTCAAATGAAGCAGTATCAGAAGAGGAGACTGGAAGGCATGTGGATGTGTTCTGAACTCTTGACAGCTCTCAAAACTTCCACAATGTGCTAGTTCGTCAATTGGCAGCCACATGGAGGCACAAGAAGAAGAAAACAAAGAGTAAAAGTATGGTATCTGCAATCTTCCTAGAAGTTTGTTTAACTGACATACATGATAATAAGTGATCTAGTGGAGCTTGAAGGTTACCCCTTACTTATGTTCAACAAGCGCATGGGCATTATCATATGCCATGAATGTGGCACAGGCCTTCTCTTGTCAAATGTCCATCGGCACCTCACTACAACAGAAGAAATACCCAAGGTAGCAGAAGATGGTATTCCCTTTCACTCAGTTGAGAGGTTAGCAGTTTCTCATGATCAGGTTAACCTGCCCAGCCCTTCCAAGGTTATGCAGCAAATCATAGACAAGTTGACCGCACTTGGATATGAGGCTGCATGGGATGCATCTGTTATAGCTTGGCAACAATGCTGGGAGGATCTCTACACTTCCACTCCTACTCCTGTTCAAGGTCTTAAGGTCTACCCTGGCTTTGTCTGTTTACATTGCAGACTGGGCTTCTTTTCCAAATGGAATGCAACTTCACACACACAGAGCGTATGTGAGCAAATTGGTGGCCTAAGGGTTATGCGCAACTCCAAGCCTGTATGTACACTCTTTGGTTCAAACATTGGTCTATCGCAATTCCTGGACTAGGTACTTTGCAGTTGCCAAACCCAAGAAACTCAAGGCTGTGGCCATTCCCAGAGTTCCTTCACTTGACCTTTGGGAGAACTTGATGCAGCAGAAGAAGAAGCTTTCCCTGCTCAGAGAGAAGGAAGGGGTTACCAAAGACTCCTTTGTGGTAACATCAGGGATTGATGGTTGGCTGTCGCAGTTGGACAAGCACAATCTATATTCCATCATGCATGCTGATATGCAGGACCCTATACGTCCTCGCCTATTCCAACTACGTGCATCAACACTGTACCACGACTGTGCAGAAGTCAACAGATATCACACCTTTGTAACTTACCCATTTCATGACTGCTGCCCGTATGTTTGACTTATTTGGTGCTTTATTGTGGTTCATTTTAATTTGCCCTTCTCAGTGCCACTAAGCTTGGGACAGAGTTCTGGATACCTGTCCAAAAGAACAGTCCAGGAGCATTTCATGTGTGCTTTGATTGCCCACTACAAGAGCGCAATGAAAGCCGTTGAGAAGGCTGGTCCAGACTTCTTCACCTTTACCAAGGAAGAAAGAATAGCAATCAAGGTCCTCAGGAATGCTCTTCTGATCGACCAAAAGACTCCCCTGACGCCACAGCAACAAAAGGTTGTCGCCAGGAGAACACATGAGGTGCTGTACCTGTTCTATTTCCCTGAATATGATCCAGCACTTGTGAAGAACAAGTTTGGTTTTGCCAGTGTGGCCTACATGGCAACTTTCTGGCTCCACAAAGATGGCTCTTACAAGACCATACATGACTTTCCACCCCTACTAGCTCAGATGCAATTCATGATGCGGATCACTGGTTTCCACAAGATGAGCGAGACGTTGGCTCTGGTGGAGACACTGCCTAAAGACCTCAAAGCTAGTGGCTCTGGCTCCAGGCAGAATATGCATCAGGACAATGAGGAACAGGTGGAAGATGAATACAGTGAAGAAGATGACAGTAGCTTTGAAGAAGGTAATGAAGACACGAACAGTGCAGAAGTTGATGAAAATGGGAGCAATGAAGATGACCGGGCTGACTAGAGACCTCAAAGGCAAACAGCTCCATCCTCCATCAAGATCAAGAATATCTTCAGGGAAAAGCCAAGGTCACTCTGGTCTGAAGCCACCAAGCAGTTGCTCCAGTAGGTCCCATGACCCTTCCAGTATCTTTGTTGACCCTGTGAGTCTAGTTATAGGCACATCAGGAGTTTCTGCCAGGAGTATCTATTTGAGTACAAATTGTCACCATTCGCTTCATTGCAGGACTTGCTTCATCGGGCCACCCATATTGTGCACAACACACCTCATCCAGCAGTAATCAATGCTGTGGATGATGGGGAAGGCATCATAGAACTTGGTGGTGCTAGGTTTACTTTGCCAGAACTCAGAACTGCTATTCAATCTGAGCTGACAAAGGTTCAGCAGCATCTCCAAGAAAAGGTCCTTCTGGGAACTCCCCTGGAATTTCATGGATTGGCCTATGATCCTTCACGAATATCCCTCAGTTCTGATGAGACCACCATAGGCTGTGGTGTCTTTGGAGATGCCCTAGATAACCCTGATAGTGACAAGCTTCTCAAGGCCATGATTCAATACTTCGTTGCAGGTGGGCCAACCCCTACCATTAGGCATGACACGAAGCCACATCCCAACACCAAGCCACATCCCAACACCAAGTCACATCCCAACACTAAGCTGCATTCAAGTCATGTTCTCCGCAAGACAACCACTGCCCATAGGAACAACAAGAGTGTTGCTGCTAGGGTGGATCATGCCAGACTCAAGGCTACTGTTCCTAGAACTGAGAGGAGATCAGTCCTTTCTCAGGAGCCTCTTTTGAAGGACATGCAGGATGTTGCTGAGAAAAACAACACTCCTTCTTCCATAGATGGAAGAAAAGTGATGCAGTGGCTGGCAGATGTCCATCAAGCATGGACCATGGTGTATGCCCTTATTCATATTCTCTCAGGACCCCCTGCTTGTGGCACTGAAGAGCAATCATTTGCACTTGTGAAAAGAACAGGTTCACGTCGCCATCTCTTCCTTATGGACTATAACGGCACACGAGTTCTTTTGTTCTGCTCTGACTATCATAAAGGTGCACAGCAGACAAACCTTATGTCCTCAGCAGCTGCTATCTGTTCTATATGTTCTTCTTCATCTAATCTGACCCATGGAGTGCCTCCTTGCCACAGAATATGTTATTAAGGCTGACCAGATTCCCAGTGATGTCTAACTATGGGACATACCTCTGTCACACGGGGGTGATGCTGGGACACAGATTTCATGTCAAATAGCATCAAAAGATTCTTTTTGTACTTCAACTGCCCCATTGGGATCCATCTCTATCGACATCTTGGGATATTCCTCTAGCGGTGGAAGCTCACAAGAAGCATTAGCATTGCAGATAAGAGCCTGGTCATGATGGCTGAGCTGATGACAGGGCATACAGAGAAAACTGGGGAGATGGTATATGCCCGGATGACAAGGACTGGGAGTGCAATTCAGGGCACCCAAGACTTGCACATCAAGATTTGCCTTGCTCTGCAGCAGGCATGGGGAGTAACACCTCCTCCCATAGTGCATAATGATTCCACTTGAGATTGGTAAGCATACACAATATATTATACCCTGGAATTCCCATGAAATGCTGAAGCAGCTGCCCCTTCAGTGTTGGCAGTCATGGGGGATGGGTACTCTCAGCAGCAGTATTAGCCTTCAATGTCAGGAGTTGCATGATGCTGGGCACAGTGAAATGTTGATTGACTTGATTGCTCGTTTTCCCTGTCATGAGCATGGTCTTAAATTTTTGTATGTTTTTGTGATGATCTCTTGTGTCTTTCTTGCATATGGTTACGACCACTTCCTCTACCAAGAATTGGAATGCATTCTAACATTCCAAGTTCAATGGACTCTGTAGGTTTAGTTGCAACACTTGATTAGTCTACCAACATGTATGTCTATTCCTACCATGCTATTCAATGAACCCAGGCAACCTCCACTGTTTCTAACTCATTTTGATGACAAAGATCATAAAGGCAGACTGTACCCTCATTAGTAGGCTCGCGACCAGGCTTACACAATCAGTCTCACACTTGTAAACTCGCTGAATTGCGAAGCGGCTGGGACAAGCCGACGCACTTTTGGCACGAGCGTGACGGGACCGATAACGTGTGTTCCCATTTGCTCCCTTGATACAACCCTTCAGTAAGCTTCAGACGGACACATAGAATATATGTGTATATATGCCATACATATTATATCTGTACATTAGCTATGAGCCTGCTGGAGGCTGATAATGCCTCCATTGGAATTGTGTATTGGAGGGCAGAGATCTCGCATCCGGGAATGGTGGCATTGGTGCGACAGTCCTCAACGTTGATATCCTGTGGAACTTGCCCAGAGAAAATGGGCATCGAATATGGCCACGGCACAGGGTACCACGCATTTGGATAGGTTGGTGCTTGATGTGCGTAAGTGGGAAAAGAAGGTGATGTCGGCAATGTCGAGCTTCCTGGGATTCCCACCAATGTTGCATGACTTCCTGCCATGTCACTGGCTGCTATCCTTCGCCGCTTCAAAGAGTGCATGCTTGACTGCGCTGCGACGGTTACAGCTGCTTCGTCAGTGGAGTCCGAATTGCGGTCTTCCGTTGCTCTCTTGGTTGCACGCGGCTTCTTTGGTAGTGAAACCAGTGGAGGAATCACCACAACGTGCAGCATTGTGTACAGCTCCCCACCATAGTGCTCATACCAATGCCACATAGGTGCCAGCAGTTTCCGTAAGCCCCTCTCATCATTGAAGATTGGGCCTACTGATGTGATGAGGTCAATAGTCTCATCTTTCAGGATGCCAGAGGCCCTGTAGAATGATGTAGGATAGCCGCGCTGGAATATGGTGTTTCGCCGTTCATGTAGTTTTGTTCAGAGAGGTTTGTAGATTTCTCCCTTTCGAGGTGCATACTGACCTGTCACCATTTTAGTAGAACCAGGTTGCATCCCGTTCAATAAGCCAGGCATGCAGATATCACAGCAAGGTGCAGTTGATTCTACATAGCACAATAGGTAAGTGTGTGGTGGTATATGTGAAGCATGATGCTTACGAGGAGTCTTATTGTTATACAGTGCCGTCAAGACAGAACATTGACATTTATTGGTCTGTACCAGCATGTGCAGACCCTTGTGGATCAAGGTGTGGGGTCTTGTACTCAAAGACTGTATTGTGAGCCCCACCTGAGAACCCGTGCCTACTCCCTCTCTCGATAGCATAGTCATGTCTTGCTTTGGCGCTCTTCTTTCTTGCTGCGGGGATACTTTTGAGGACCCAGCTTTGTTTTGGCCCTTTTTGGTGGTCCCACTCTCTGTCATCTTGTCGATTGTGCATTCAGGGGCAGTCAGGCCTACCTTGTATGCGGAGGGCTCTACCAAGGGGATGGCCAGCCCTATCAGCTTCAGGTCCCTCGCAGCGCGACCCGAGCATTGCTCAAAGCTTGATACCAAGACAGGCAATCTCCACTGGACGATGTGTTCGATATCACGGATATTGCATCCCTGCGAGTGCATATGATTGAGCTCGATGAGTGTATATTAAGATCAATGGAACTTACCATTCCTGCAGCATCAGTACACACTAAGATATGGACAGCTCCAGTTTGGAACTCCTCCATTACCCTCGTCCTATACGCCTGCGAGTATGCGGTATTGTATGTTCGAATGAGACCTGCTTGTCGAATTCCTTTTGGCAGTAAATCCAGCAGGTGATCTATGATCTCTCTGCCCCAGTTGATATTGTCTGCGTAGACGAAAGACTTTTTGATGTCAGTCGGAGTGGCAACTTCAGAAGGTATCAGGAAGTCGAGATCTGTATATGAATTCATGGGGTGCTGCATTGCTCGCACGACCAGGGACACAATAGGTCTGTCGTTCCCTACATTGATCATTATGTATTCCTTTCGCATCTGCAGTTTGTTGATGATGTCAATTTGTACTCGGCTGACCATGCTTGCAGACATGGCGGCTATAGGTACCCCCGCGGTAAGATGGGCCATATGACACCAAGGGTGCCGTATTTCTTGCAAAATTCAGCACCCCAGTGCGACACAACATGGGCTTCATTGACAACAATTGACAGGAGTCTGGCACCAAAGTCACTATTGCGTAGTACCCGCAAGATAAATGATCGGGAGAGCAGCATCTCTGGCGATATCAGGAGGATTTGCCATTTGCCTGCCACATTTTTCTGCTCAGGTAAGCATGTCGACCATTATTATTGTTTTGCTATGACCACACCTTGAGGATATCCCAGTTACAGCCCCCATGACTGCTGTTTACTGCCACGGCATGGAGCTTAAACTCACTCCGGAAGGTTTCCACCTAAGAAGTCTCAGAGTGAGTTATCCATGTTGCATCTCTGGAGACGACTAAAGCATACCTGCTCATCATGCAGGGCAATCAAAGGGGACACAAGGATTGTCACTTTTCCCTTACTCTTCGGGTGCGCATGAGGACCAGCAACAATCAGAGTCTTTCCCTGACCGGTCCCTGCATGGATCAGCATGTTCTGGCCTTTCGGTTGAGCCACTGTGGCCTGTAGCTGCAATGGGCGGGGCTCATAGGCGAGAGAAAACTGCTTGCGAAGGTGGTTGATGAGTCCATCAAGATCACCGTCCTCAAGATTTTGGAATGCGGATGTTCACAGTGGAGGAGTTCTAGCTTCTTGCTGATGTTTTGTTCCCTTGGGAGGCACAGATGGGTGTGTGTCTGCCATTGTGGTCTAGTGGACGAAGTGCAGAATGAATAAGTGGAAAAACAGACTTAAGATGATTGAACACATGCAACAGAATCACCATCGTTGGGCGCCTGGCCCTTCCAGCCACTATGTCTTCCTCATATGTGGGTGCACCTGCCACTTCAACTCGCCGTGCTCGAGGATCCTCCCTTCCACCATCCTCACCTCTCTCGTGGCTTGAGTCTTCCTCACCTCCTCATGCACTGCCTGAAGCTGTATCTGATACAGAGGCGGAAACTGCACTCCTCTGGGATGGTGTGAACCCGATGAGTCCAATTTTGGGTAGCCCAGACACGAAAGCTCATAAGAGGATACAAAAACAACAGCGAAAGCGGATGGATACCATACAGAAAACAAAGGCGGCGGAGGATGCTATTGCCCGAGGAGGAGGCGCAGCGGGAGGCTAGGGAGTGACAAGAGCACAAGAAGCTTGCAGTTTTTCAGTTTGTTCTATCACACCTTTCTCAGAATGGGCTGACAATCGGAGACCTCATGCTATATGTATTTGATCCACAGTCCAAATATCCAGAACGTTGGACAGGCTTCCTCCAACATCCTTCACAAGTGAACCAGCTCCTCGACTGCATCAGCAAACACAGCAGCTCGGCTGCACGCCAGACAGTCCGATCATGGGCAACCCATGTTGTTGGTGACATGGTCTGTCGTGAGGCTCAGCAAACCATGGCATTGGGGGTATACCAGAGCCATCGCAAACCAATCGACAGGGACTACTTCCTTGGACTCGACCTCTCTCGTATCCACTGGTACCTCGAGCTTGAGGCAAGTACCATGATGACTATCCTGTCGGCATTCACGACATGTAGGAGGCACCTGACAACATGCACGACCAATCGAGCTGCTCAAAAACGTAATGTATGTACTCATTTCAACGGTACCCGATCAGAAGGCTAATCATGAAGGTCATTGTGTAGATCATGACGTTTGCGGCTCTACAGTGTCTCAGTGAGTTCAGCCGCAGCAACAACTATACCAAACGTATCTTCTCGGTATACTTCTATGCGTCAGGTGCACAGCGGCAGACTCTGTCCATTCTTTCACATATTGGTCTCACAGAGAGCTATTCAAATCTCATCGACAAGTCACGACCGATGAAACTCGCTACGGACTTAGACCCAGCTCCATCAGCACCTGCCGCTCTCGCTGCATCACAAGGGACTACGACCACACCAACAAAAGTACATATGGCATATCATATACAACCGGGCACTCTTCGACAGATGTCTATGTCCATGTGCACTGTAGCCCGCACGGTTGCTGCCACAGGGCTGTATGCAACATGCTACGATAACATTAACATGATGCTCCATGTCTCTGAACAGATCTTGGGACGTATGGACTCGCAGGAGAACGGGACATGTGCGACTATATGGCCATTGTGGAAAGCAGTCCCAGAAGATTTGTCGCTCCCGGAGTTTGAGCATCAGTTTGATCGTGCATCCCCACTTTCCATCAAGGATGACTTGCTCACTCCGCAGGAAAACAGCATGTTACATGCCGCATTCGAGCATACCATCTTGTGGATCCTCATCTGATACAGGGGTGCTAACTTCAAGAAGTATGAAGCGGACTTAAATCGGAGTCAGCCGTGTTCGGACCACATCATCGAGGTTCATAAGACTTCCCTACATGCATTGCCTGCCATGGAGATTGAAGAGGTTACGATAGTCGGAAATGCCAAGGTTGTCAAGACTATCCTCAAGGAGCTCGACGTTGACACGTCGACATCTGCCTTTGGCCGCATTGTACACATCTTTGCTGGCAATCAGTTGTCCATTGCACATCTACGGGCCATTCAGAACATCCATGCAGGTCAAGAAGGCAGGTTTTTGGGCTTTGGATGGGGTGTCTGGATGCCTGGACTGTTTCATGCCAAGATAGCAGATGCTCACAGTACACTATTCACGCACTGGGGAAAGCCGAACATGGGAACTAGCAATCCTGGCTGTCTCTGGTTCCATAATACATGCCTCCATCATGCCCCGATTACTCTGACCTCATTGCCGTCTTTCCAAACTTGTCGCGATCTCATCTTCACCTCACCCTATTCCCATGTCGTTCATTGCTTGCTCCTGGTCTCAAATGAGAGCAGTTTAGACAATCTGGCAGCTTCCCTGACCCGATGGGAGGGTTTACAGGAGCTAGCCCACAGAGTCTCACAACACTTTGTCAATCCAAACATGATCAACAAGATGTGCGCAGCTCGCAGTTCTGGTGATGCTGGCGCCGGTGATATGGTCTTCAAGAATGCGGTACTCTTCCTCTGTGATGCCCTTCTCTTGCGTGAGTTCACAGATGCGATCAAAGTCGGAGATTCTGGCTCTCAAGGCATGGGCCCTGCATTTCCGTGGAAATGGGCTAACCAAATATGCCCACAAGATGCTGCATCTCATACACAATTTTGCTTATGTTTGGCCTGAATGGATATGGTGAGTTCACTATCTATGACATTCATAAGCGAGACCTGATTCCCATCGTAGTTGTGTAGTTATGAATAACTGGCTGGTGAATCCCTCTGGCCAGCCGAACTCATGGGTTGAAGTCGATTTAATGCAAGAGCATAAGAAAATTTGGATCAAGGTAAGTATTCCCTGTCTTCAATGACCCATCTGCCCCTGATAGTGCGTGCAGAATGTGTACAAGGCCCATGGCAGCGCAGCATCATGGGAGTGGCTGGAGATGATGTCGCCATGCGTGGACGTCCTGCGACATCTCACTAACAAGATGAAGCTACTGCTCAGTTTGGACCAGGGAGTCAAGCACGCTGAAGCCAATCTCAAAAACGACATCTCATTGCTCATGGCAAGTCTTGCAGATCACGAGGTTTACGCGGTGAAGAATGGTAGGATCCTTGGAGAGGATGATGGACCCATTAAGGACATTGCAACAGTAGGCCTCGAGAACTTAATGAATGGCAAGAGTCCCTTGGACGAGTTTAACAAGGCATTTCTCCGCCTCCAAGCTCGCCAGCGCATTAGTCCAATCACTGGTGAGCCACCTTCCAATGTGGGCACTCAGGATGATGCAGGTGCCGCGGATGGTGGTGCTGCTAGCATGCCACGTTCTATGTCCGCAGATGAATTGTGTAATGGCACCCATGACTCGGGTGTCAATGAAGTCTCGGATGGGGAACCAGACATTGACGCTGATGCCGAAAGCTGGTATCCTGTTGACAATATTGAAGATCTGGATGGCCCAACACTCACAAGACTGTCCACAGAAGATGTTGAACTGGATATGGATGGGGATAGTCAGTCACGGGAGGAAGAGGTCAAGGATCACGATAGTGAGGACGAGCAGCTCTTTATGGATGTTGACAGGGAGATTGAGGACGATGATGCAGATGAATTTTGGGGGGCATAGCAGGGATAATAGTGATATATACTGAACATGGTATCTATGCTAGTACATCTTTGTTTATATGAAGTCGCATGGAGTGGACTGGTACCATCGTATTCATCAGAGGCCCTTCACTAGGGAAGAGAACAGACGTGAAATTTCACTAAGTCCGTTGTCATGCTTGGCAGGCGGAAGTGTGACCCTGCCATGTGATGCTTCAGTTGACCCAGTCTGCTTGCAAGCTCGCGCCTTTCCACACTCCGACACCTAAAAGGGAAGTTGCATGCTTTGTTTGCAAGCGGACTGGTAGCAAGTCTACCTCATTAGTCAGTAGAAGGGACAGCCTTGCTGCATGATATTACTAAATATGGCATATTTGTGCAGCAAGGCTGCTTGTTGATGGAAGCCGAAGGTGTCTTGGTCATGTCACGCTTCCATACATAGGTATGAGTCAACAGCACGACTTGCTGTTTTCACACCTGCGAACCTGAGCTCTTGGGTGAGTGTGGCATCTTGGACGCTGATAAGCCTCAGGATCGTCTGACCCCCGAAAACGCGGACTCCACACATCATACAAGCCCCCCCGGAGCTTATTCGACACAGCGCTCTCACGCCTCTAGGCTTCTATGGGCTCTAAAAGACTTTTTTTCTATTTAGCTCCGGACTTCCTAACATCCTCGAGGCGTACACGGACCCATTCTGTGATTTATCTCCGCACACCGAAGCTCCGGAGTGACTTAACCAACGCGACTTCTAGCTGAATTAGCTCCGGGACCCGCGGACACTTCTATCGAGGGGCGTCGTCCTCATGCCCACCCTCCAGCACTCACTCCCCCTCGTTTCCGTCAAGATACCGAAGGTGCGGACGCATACGAGTCACCATGAGGTCAGCATCAGTCAGCAAGCGGCCGAAGGTAATTAGCACGTGATTGGCGTGTCGCATGGAGTGATGGGACCGCTTGGGTCAGGTGGCGGAGCGTCGAGGCGACCTATAGGGGCTGGAGAGAGCAAGTGGGAGCGCAAGAGAGTTGTATGGTGTATGGTATAGCGGAGGAAAGTGATGAGCAATCCTGTGGGTAGCGGCGTTTATTTGTTATTTATCTCCGAACGGTCGCAAAGCCATTCCTGTAGTATAAATTGTACAAAGTAGCATACAGAAAAACAAGTTTTCCACTTCACCATCTCCGAGAATTAACGTTACAATCTCAGCGACCCGAGAAGTTCGAAAGCGTCGAACTTAGCGACTTATAACCGATCCTAGCTTTGCCAATAGGCCTGACTCGTCGAGAGAAATAGCTCCGCCATCGATTTAACT